GTGCCACTGTTGTAGAATGGGACTGACATCAGGGTTGGGGTAAGACAGAAAAATTGGATAAATTATGTACACTGCATTGAAACAGATGAGAGAGACAACAGTTTAAAAGCGATATATGATTGGGTATTTTGGTTATTATAGTAGTCCAGAATGAAGGTTGCACATTGGTGTGTACTTGGTATGTGTGTGTGGGGATTGTATACCAATGAAAGAATTTTTCTTTTACTTTTCAAAGAGAGGAGCAAACTGGGGAGGGGAGGGGTGGGCAGGGAGAAAAGTGCAACAGTGAATGAATGGAAATCCAAAATCTCTGTAAACGTTCATTAAAATTATTTCTTTTTAAAGTTAATAAAAAAACCAAAACACAACAACATCCTGGTGTGGACGACGACCTCACAGATGCCAGACCACCGAGAACCACAGTCCGGCCTCTCTGAGAAGAGCCCTCACTGCCCTGTTACTCTGGCCTCACCCACCATGTTCCACGGCCAGCTGCCACTCTGTTGACGTGCACAGCAGTGGGGCATTTCAAGCATCCAGGACCAGGTAATGAGGCCAGCCAGTGTAGGGGTGATGTCGTGACAAGCAGTGCGATGGGTAAGCTCGTGACAGGCCAGTGGTCAAAGCCACCAGTCACTCTGCAGGACACTGTGACAACTGGCCCCTGGAGGATTCCAGCCCCGGGGGCCTGTGGGGTCAGGGGCCGTCAGCCAACAATGACTCATGGTGACCCTATCAACACCATGTCGGAGCCTCGCCCTGGTTTGTCCCCCTCACAATCCCCCCGCCCTCACGATTCCCCCGCTGTCACGATCCCCCCCTCACGATCCCCCCGCCCTCACGATCCCCCCACCGTCACGATCCCCCCACCCTCACCATCCTCCCATCCTCACAATCCCCCCACCCTCACACCATTGTTACAGACACGGAGCCAACTGCCCAGAGATCACGAGATGAAGCTTCACCATCCTGGAGCTCTGGAGGACAGTCTGAGTCTGACATTTAGGACCACTGTGAGTCAGAATCAACTCTATGGCTTTTAACAATGAAAAGTGAGAAATTCAATGGAAATACACCTGGTATAACCACATCAAGATCCATGATGACTGAAGAACAAATCTTGAGCAGTAGATGAAATGTGCATGTGGAGATGTGAGAGAAATGAACAAAGAAGCAATGAGTCGGGGAGTAAAACCTGCGCCCAGAGCGGACACCAGAAAAAACACGGCTGCTGGAGAGGATAGGCGGGGGTGCCCGGGAGGCCGGGGCGAGGCTTCACCTCACGTACTTTGCATCTGTTATCAGGAGGGGCCATGCCCGGGAAACAGATATCCCAC